ATATATTTTTAAAGTCCAGAAGTTAAGGTAAACACCATTCTTTTGAAAAATTAATGAAGCATTCAAGGAAGTCATCAGTGTTAGGTTTTCATCCAAGACCTGGAATACTGGTGCTCTATTTTCTAGAATTTACTCCTTGCAAATATTTAGCTATCATGACAGTAACAATAGTAATAAAATAATTTCAAGTTGAGCCAAACTGGAATTGCATAAAACTTTTATCTTTTATTATTTTAGGAATTGTGAAATTATTTTGGCTTAAAAATTCATAGTACCAGTTTCAGATTTGGATTTTAGTCACAGTGAGAACACCTTAGTTTGCCCCTCTAGGCTGCACAACTTACATATCATAGTAGGCTTTGCAAGTTTATTAAGAATTTAATTTAAAAACATGGTGGTAAACTTGTGGGTCCATCAAAGTTAAAAGTGGGCTTTGTGTTTGGCTTTCAAGGTAGTTGAGTTTGGCTCTTAACATTTTAGAAAAAAATTAAAGAATCTTCCACATTCTAGACTATTTCCTGTAACTGCAAAAGAAAAGCTTCCTAGAGCAATTCCATAGGAAAAATAGAAATGAAATGGAAGAAACGCCACATTATACAGCTGTAATAAAAGCAAGATGGAGTGTATTAACTTTTGTGTCAAATATCATTATTCTCTAATGATTTATGGTCTTGCTTCTTTACATTCCCACTAGTTTGGAGGACCTGCGAGTAAAGTTAGAGAATGAAGGATTGGTCAACATCTCGTATGTGGTTGTCAACCATCAGGGAGTTCAATCCCGGAGGGAATTTCACCTACTAAAAGAACGTGTTTCAGACTACATTACTGTCTACCAGCAAGATGAGCAGCAAGAGGATGTCTGGACTACTTTAAATGGAAACAAGGATGACTTTCTCATCTATGACAGGTGTGTGCTTACAGACAAACATGGGAAAATATCTGCATATATTTTGAATAATGATTTGCAAATCTCTATATAATTTCATTGATGTGCAAATAACAAAAACATCATGCTCACCTTCTAAGTTGAACTAAGTAAAGTGCTAGTATTTACTGGAAAAACAAAGTTACAAAACCAAAATCTGCATTTGCACAAGTAATTTTGGAATAATTTTTTTTCTTTATAATTACCGTGGGTTTAGATGAACATAAGTGAGGATAAAATTTGGTAACATGTTCATGGTTTTAAAGTGTTTTTATTTTCAGATAACTTCATTACATCCATGCATGTCAAAGTAGAATCTTTTATCTCATGGAAACTTTTTGATGAGAGTTGTTGAAAATGCCATGTAGATATAAGGAAAAATTAGTCTTTAGGTAAAACTTAAAACTTCAGAAAAAAATTGCTTTTTGACATAGGATTCTGACACAAGTATATTTTGGCAGCACCTGTAGGAACTGTAGTTGAACTCTCAATTTTTTGATTTTGATGTGTTGATAATTACTTGAAAAATCCTGCACTTGAAACATGTCTACCTTGTTATATTACTGTAATGAACATTCCAAATTCATACGAAACATAAATAAGTTTAATACAGAGTTAGAAAGTTACTCTTTTTCTGTAATGTGATTAATTTAAACAAGCTAGCTACATTAGGTTTGTAGGATGAAACTAGCAGTGGAATGAATGATCTTGAATATTACAGCAGCAAATATGCCCAAGTAAGGAAGGCTGATGTAATACAACAGACAAACAGAACAGTGCTGTATTTCGTCTGGGAGGGGGCCCAGACACCTTGTCCAGAGCATTTGAAAGGTTGATCAGTTCTGTGCTGTGGACACACAGGATATGTGTACATTATGAATTGGCTTAGCACTAGCCTGGCCATGATCCGTGATGGTTCTAGCAGTCTGTGTTCTTGTTGTGCCTTAGCCACGAAAGATTTGCCTGCTGCTGGTCCTAAATGTGCAGTCCACACGTGGGGAGCTAAGGCCAGGGGACTGTGTGTTGGCACTGAACAAGCCGCCCTTGTGTACAGGTTCTGCATTTTCTCCAGCTCCCTTGAGCAGATCAGTTGTGTAGTCAAGTGCATATCAGAACACTCAGGTGCAGACATGGGGCAAGCAGGCACCATAGCAATCCCCTCATGAATAATAAACCAGTAATGCAGGTGCACCACAGTTCCCATTCCAGTCAAAATACCGTCAGGTTGCATGAAACCACTTGGTAAGGATGCAGCAACCACTCTGCAAAGAACCCTTCTCATTATCCCAATGGATCTGTAATGAGTGCACCTCTGCCAGTGTTAAGTGTCACTAAAGGACAGGCTTCTGGCAGTGCAGCTACCACATCGGTCAGAAATCATGCTTCACATCCTGGCCAGTGTAGGTGAGTGGGCAAGCATTTGTCATATATCAGGAAAGGTACTGGATTTGCCTGTGAACTGGAACAGAAACACTCCCCATGGAACTGTACGGTGTGGGTGGATTGATGCAAGTAAAGTAAGATATCATAAGAAGAGAGATTTAGTTGTAGGTATTTGTAACCAGAGTTCTTTCTCTCCTTAGATGCGGCCGTCTAGTGTATCATCTGGGTATGCCCTACTCCTTCCTGCATTTTCAGTATGTGGAAGAATCTATTAAGATTGCATACTGTGAAAATAAGTGTGGAAACTGCTCTTACATGGTATTTTCTTGTCTCATTCTGTATATAACAGAAAAGTAGATTTGATTGGTATTTAAAAAATTATTTCAGTGTGATTAATCCAGAAATATAGTATTTCAAATTTACACATTTCATGCATCTTGAAGATAGCTTTTAAGCATTTTTCTAATCTAATTAAATTTGATTTAGAATAGACTGATTGATTATTTGAATTCCTGTCCTTGACAGAAATGCAAGTAATTGTGAGAAATGTAAATGCAATCTTGCAGAGTAATTGTGTTTGTAGAGCCATAGAGGTAGTGAGCAATTAACTACTCTAATTTTGTGGGATGGATAAGTACATATTTTTTTTAAAACCCAGGAATCAAACTCAAGTTGGTTTGCATTACTATTCATTGTAGTTTGCATTGAAACACAGTCTACAAGAGTTATTTTAAAAATGTGATAAAAGGTGACAAATTATTGTTACTGCTATAAAAGAAGGGTAGATTTCTTTAACGAATCATTCAAGACCAGAAATACTTTTAAGGATTATCAAGAAATATACATACTTCACAGAAGTTCAATGAAAATAATAATTTTTGATCCCATTGTGCGTGTAGTGTTCTGGCTAAATGTAGACCACAGATAGGTCAGATGTAGGATCTAGCATAAGAAGCAGTTACTGGAATTATAATTGCTAAAAAGCCCTGTCTAGTTGACAGTGGTATGACAGCACAAGACTATTTTTGATATGTTCAGCAAAATAGATAAATAACTTAGAAGTGCCTTTCATGCTCTGTTACATCAGTTTAATTGAATACAGTGCAATACAGTATTTAATGCAAGCGTCTGTTTTGCAGGAACCTGATGCTGATGGTGTATGTGAAAACATCACTAAAAAGGCAGTTGAAGAGCTGTCAGAGATAGAGCCCAAGCCAACAGGTCAGCATTCCCATCCCAACCTGCACAGACATGGACACCACCAGCGCCACCACCACCACCACCACCATCACAAGGGCAGTCGTGACCCCAAACATGAGAACCACCAGGCTGCTGCTGAAGCTGAGAGACATCATCCTCACAGCGGCTGGCGCCACAGGCTTTTTGGCCACCACAGACATGATCAGATAGGTAGTCAGGAGCACGTAGACACTGACCCTCCAGGAGAAATTGTGGAAATTCCACAAGATAAAAAACTACGAAAGAAAGGGAAAAACAGCTGCAAAAATGAGTTAACTTGAAATTGGCAGACAGGATCAGACTCTACCTCTAGCAGCTGATCCTGTCATTGTCGACACCTTCTGTTTGAAGAGCTAGGGAATTCTGCCACCTGACAGTGTCGTGGAGCACTACCAAATTCTTGCAGGTGACACGGGCAGCTGGCAGCAGAGGACATCACTGAGTCTTGACAGTGCCGTCTGCTCTCTGCTGCCTGACATTCATCACCAGCAGGAGCAAGTGAAACTAGTGACACCTGACAGTGACAGGAAAAGGCGAGGAACTGATCCTGAAAAAAAAACTAAGCACCTTCCAGAAACAAGGGAGTCACACTAACTCAGTTAATATAGTTGCAAGAGCAGAAAAATGAACACATTAAGTGTTTTTATTGCCCCAAATTCAAAATTGTGCTGACAGGTATGGGTATATTGCAAAGGAGTGAATTTTTAGAGCAGAGCTTTTAGAATGATTGAATACCTGTCAAATTCCATCAGTGAAAAGCTTAATGATTTAAAGGAATTTGGTTGACCCCTAGTTTGTCTTTCAGTTCCACTGGGAAGGTGTCTGCATTCTTGATTAATTTGTCTTTCTTGTATCTCTTCTAACATTCTGCTTGCATTTGTGAGGACAGGAGCATAAACTATGACCTAGGGGCTCCTGTCTGATGTTTTGCAATCAAGAACAGAAGATAACCAAGACGGATATTTTAATCTAATAATTTTTTATTAAGAAGACAATATATCTGAAAGTTGAGTGTTTTTTTTTTTTCCTAACCTGGGGATACAAATCATGTACAAGCAAAACTTCTAAGCAATGTGACAGAATAATTCAATATAAAAAAATGTAATATACAGACAGTAACGGCTTTATTTTCAAGTAACAGATCGATAAACTTAACTTTGACAAATATTTCTCAACAAAGCTAAGAGCTTTGTGACTCTTAGATACAGTAAGAGGGTCCATTAATACATACTGCTACAGCATCTAAAATCCTGCTAAATCAATTAGATCATCCTGAAGTGAGTAGTGTTAACAACGGAGAGTTAGAATCAAAAAGAAGGTGGGATGAAACAAGTTTAATCCTGGGGTAATGTTGATCTTTGTTTATAACAGTGCTGAATTTTATAAGTCTGTGTCAATTAGCAATCTGTATCAATTAACATAATATACCACTTAAACTTGTATAACTTCTCTTTCTATAGCCTAGCATTCCTAATGTTTGATTAACTGAATAGAAGTAAATCCAATTGTTTGAAAGATTTCTGGATGAAGAAGAGAATATTCATGAAAAGAACACTGCTATGAAAGCATACACCATAATTAATGATGGTTTAATAGGGAAATTACTACTCCTACAAAACCTGAATCTTTTTATTGTAAATGCTGATTAGCAAGAGAGTAGCTGTGAATATACACAGAATGCATGCCTTTGGAATGTTTGACAGGAATGTTTTTAATAAAACATACTTTCTTCATATCTTGTTTTTATTTTGAGATGCAGAATTTGAAACACTGAAACACTTCAAGTCATTTACTCAGAATCTTCTCCGTTTGAACGGCAGGTCTTGGCCTTTGTTAAGACGCTGCTCCAAGTCTCTTATGGTGTTTCGGAGAATTTCAATTTCCTTGTTTTTCTCTTCCTGGAGATGCTGCAGCTTCTGTAAAAGTGTGGGCAAAGGCTTCATTGTTAAATATCACATAAAATTATGTAACAATACATTGTGCTACTGCGAGTAAGATATATTATAATAAGAATATTTTCCTTGGTATTTTTGTATCACAAAATTGCAAAAACTATTTCCTGAGAATCCTGTTTTTCTGCCATCCCAAAGTCTTAAGCCTAGCACAAAAAAAAAAAAAAAAAAAAAAAAAGAAAAAAAGAAAAAAAAAGCATTCTATCAGTGTCACTGATGTCAGTTCTAGTTTAAGTTTCCAGGTTAACAATTCTGTAGTAAAACCACCAAACCACCTCACATGTAGCTTTTTGTTGTTGCTTGCCCTCAGTAGTATCAATATGACAAGAACCATGACAATTGGAGTTGACGATCTTAAAAGCTTTTTCTATACTGAATTATTCTATTATTCTATGGATTGAGTTTTGTAGAGGGTGTGTGGGAGAGAACATAGGGAGAAACCCCAGGGAGCGCCTGCTTCAAACACCCTGAAACACTATCTGTGTGCTGTACACTATGAAAGCACCTACCCTTCGATAGATACTTTGTGGTAAGACTGAGGCATCTGAAAACGACTTGGTGGTTTTATCCTGAGCTCTTGCCAATTTAGCATTGAACTGAAAGAATCAGGCAAAGACAAAATGATAAGAATGAATGGGGGGGGGGGCGGGGGGAAGGGGAAGGTGTATTAAATATGTCAAGTGTAATTTTCACTTTTTATTAGTTGCATTTCTTCACCTGAAGGTAGTAGCACTAAGCCTTTCTACTAAGTCTAGAAAAACAAGGCTACGTATGTTTACTTTAAAAAGAATGTAGTTACAAGCTGTATGTCTTAAAAAAAAAGCCTCAAAGTTTTGCAAAAGCAGTACAAATACGCTTCTGAAAAAAAAGAATAAAATTGAAGGCTTCTCAGCCATATATCTACAGGATGAGAAAATACAGAAGGTGCTAAAATCCTTCAGAAGCATTGTTCTTCTTTTTTGTTCCAAGGACCAGTCAGCCCAAACACTTCCACAACTCATTTCTTTTTTGATGTGTGAAAGGTTTGAAGCATTTCCTTAATTCTTTCTGTAATGAGAATGTTTTGAAACATGAGCAATGAAATACATGTTGAATGCTCTGTCTTAAATCTCTGCAGGATTAGAATTTTGTATTGCAATTTTATTACAAAAAATATTCTCACCATTCAGAAATTAAAAACAAGAAAGTTAAGCAGAAAACATTGTTGAATTTAATAGCTCAAAATATAAAACTGTTTCTAAGTAATTTGATTTGGAACAAGAGGAAAGCATCTTCAGTCTCCCTATACAGCAGGTGGAACTTGACTCCTGAGCAGGCGTCAGTTACCATTGTGGAAGGGAGCACCTACCACTGATCCTCATTAAGACAATAAATAATTAAGTTTTCTAGAGTCCATCATATTACTTTGTTAAGTACTAATTAATATTTTTTCACTACACAGTCTCTTTGAAGTTTACCAAATGCCCAGTTCATCTTTAAGTCAGCTTTGTAAGGCATACCTCTATCTGCAGTTTAATTATTTCATTCTGCTTCTCTTCATTTTGAATTTTCAGCTGTCTAGTTAGCTCTAATATTTCCAGGTCTTTTTTCTCTCTCTCTTCGCTATACTCCATTTCTTTTAGTTCAACTAGCAACACAGTAACACCAAAATAATTATAAAAGATTATATAGGTGAAAAATTAACATAATTTTCCAAATATTAAAACTTTCTTGAACATAAGGTCAACATTTCACTGGAAGACAATTCAAGCAGAAACCATACTGAAATGGTACGAAAACCACACCATCCTATCCCAGTCAGATGGTGTCTTTTTAAAAGAAGCATATAATTTGCAAAAACTTTCCTTGTTTACACCTATATGGAGGACCAAAAAAATCCTAATTTTTAAGGTTATATCTCTAATGGAGCAAATGAACACAGAAATCAGTTTTCTCCTCACTGAAGTATCATTTATTTGTGAAAATAATGTTCTACTTTCCTGAACACAGATAGAAGATTTGAACAGCAATCTAGCTTACAGTTCAAAGCAAGGTTCCAGTTGACATTTATATCAATATTTCATTCCTTCTGATTTTTATGCCCACATTCCCATTATTTGTTCTAACTATCAGCGAATTTCTTTCCATCCCGTGTTGCTGTACTACTGCTTCATTACCACTGTCTGTTCTCTTCAGTGAAGATAAAATTCCATTAAACACTGCCAATTTCTAGTGTTCACGTGTTTCTACTACAAAGTGGAACTCATATTTATCCTAGGCAAAACGTAGCATGGTGACAGTATGTTTTACCCATTGCTAAAGCATTCAGTCTTTAGAGAACTTACATTTTTTCCTTGTATTGCAATTCAACTGTGTTATTTCTAATTTGTGGTCTTCCTCTTTGTTTTTAATTTCTGTCATGAGTTTCTCAATTTGATCTTTATAGTCCTGTGAATGTAAAATGTTTTATAAAGATCTTGCAGTTTCTGTGCTCTTAGCCTTCTGCAAAGCACAACCATCATGTAAAAATATACATTACTCTATTATTCAGTACTTGTTTTATCCTCAGTCTTGTAAATTTAAATGCCCAGTTACTTCTTACATGGTCTGACTGAAGTCCACAGATGAAAAACATAGTAGATTTCATTGTATTACAGTTATATGTTAATATAAAATGAGAAACTGTACTTCTTAGGAGAACAGGCAAATGGAGAAGTAATATTCCTTTCCCGAGAAAAGGATCTGACACAATGATGCAGTTAGTTAAGGCAATACAGTTTCGCTTTTGTGTATTTTTGACTCAAGGATTGCATGATTCAAGTGTGAGTTTTGTTAGTATTGTTTATACGAAGGGTTCCACAACTTCACGTTGGCAGCAGTAAGACACACCAGTACCAGCAATAGTGATGCTGCTGGCACTGACGTTCAAAGTTTGAAGATGCCAGTTATTAATTTACTCCAATAACTTAATAACTCCAATAACTATAAATTTACTCCAGAACTTTCAAGGAATTGTCTGTAGCTGCCATTGTTGAGGTGCTGACTCCAAAGCTCTTGTTGCAGCTTTCTGACAAGATTGCCACTCACCAGAGCAATGCCTGGGGACACTCACCAAGGCAGTCACTGACTGGGGATCAGGATATGGGGACATAGTCAGGCGCCTTCAGAACGACCAGGAGGTCCTGCCGTGCTCATACATGAGTTTAATGGGTGTATAATGGGTGAATAATAATTTTTCAGATCCTTCAGAAGGCATTACTCATTTTTTTACTCAAGCAGTCAAGCTAATAGCTCTACTGGTACAAAGATTTGATTTTAACTCATAGCACAAACACAGGCAAAGGAAACTAGCAGTGAGATTCCTGATCCTTATCAGATAACAGATCTGCACTCTCCACACAGAGAGCTATGAAAACAGAGAACTCTGACTAGTGCCCCTGGTTTTACCTCCTTTGCAAAAATTAGTACCATAGATACAAAGTACAGAGATCATATATGGAATTTATTATGAGGTACAGATAAGATGTAGAGACCTATTATCTTTGTAGTATTTATTCCTGAATAAACTGGACAAAATTCAGACCACTCCTAATTCTCCAGACACCTTCAATGTGAAAACCCTTTTTTCCACATGCAAAATTATTTTAGTGCAAGAGATTAGAATGATGAAGGTGAAGTTGAATTTAAAGTTAAATGCAGTTAAAAAACCCCCAAGTGCATCTTAGATTGAGCCAAAGTTCTCAGCACCATGGAGTTTTAACCTCTTAGTTTTTCTAACACCTTCTTACATGGATACTGTCATGAGAACAACCTTTCTCTTTTTACACATGAAAAACATTAACAGAAGAGCACCAATACGAGTATCAATAGCAAACCCCAAACAAAAATATATACAGTATAATAGAGGTGCAGTATTATTCCTTTACCTAAAGAATGATAATTTGTGACATACCTCTTCACAAGTCTTTAATTTATCTTCCAAGATGTGAATGGTTCCCTTTAGTCTATCATTTTCATCTACACAAACAAAAATTGTATGGTACACTAAAAAGTACATTTCGACAATTTCTTTAGCATGAAAGCAGAATAAAGAAATTACTTGCATTTTTTAACTCAGCTGAAGTTTGAGAAACTTTTTTTGTAGACATTATAATCATTACAGAATGACATACTGTCTGTTTCCATTTTTAACAAGAAAAATCATAGTTTAAGTTTAATAATAATATTTAAGTTGTATTACTACTTAGAACTTTCTCTAGTTTTCTGATAAATTATGCATTCAAGAAAATCTAGATGCAAAGTTCTTTGACTCAGAAAATAAAAATTATTATCATGGCTACAACAGTTTCAAACTGGAAGATGCAAGTTCTTAAGTACCTGAACTTGAACAAGAACTTAAGTTCTTAAGTTCCCAATAACCAGAAAACAGTATGCAAACACAGAATTTAGAGAAAATAGATTTTAAAAAATTATCCTTATCAATTTGAGTATTAAAAACATCCATATACTTCCAATATTAGAGGTTTATTAACATATATATATATATATGCAAATATGCCTTGAAGGCAGAATGGTTATAAAATTAACTTCATGGTGTACTGCTGAGCTGTAGTATAAAGATATAGCAAATATTTATATTTTTTTTCAAGTAAAAATTGGTAGTTGTCAAGTATATGTGGACAACAGCAATAACATTTAATAACATTATATACTAAGAATAAAGACACTCTGGTTTAACAAAGTGAAAAAAATTGTGCATAAACACTTGAATAGTCTACAATCCAACAGCTAAATGATACTTTCTCACCTTTTGTAAAATTGTCTGTGTTACACTAAAGTGAATTTAAAACTATTGATTAAATAGTTTTATAATTCAACTATCAATTAAAATAACCTCCTGGAGGCAGTTACTACGTAAACTATGGCAATAATGGCAATAGCAATTATTACTGCACAAGATTGATTTAAAATAATTTTTTTGTTTCTCTTTGCCTGTCAGTAAGTTTCTGCGTCTGAAAAACATCAGTAAATATAAATGAAAAAATTGAAGGCCTGTTTATTCAAAATTACAGTACAGAATATATATAAAATAGCAATTTTTGCCTTTACCTTTCACGTTACACTGGTTTTCAATAGTTTGTGTCAGACCCTTTATCACATTCTGTAGAGCACTGCATTCTGAAAGAAATTAAAGATCCAGTATTTTTGAATAGTGTCTTCACAAATTTACATTTTGTTTACAAAATTTCATCAAATATTTTATAATAATTTTGGTTAAGTGTTTCTCTAAGTCTTTTTACTGACTGTAAAAATAACTCAGATTATTATTACATGGTTACTGCTTAATTTTAGCTTTTAGTTTGATGATTGATTAAGATCAATTTTATGAAGCAATACAAACAATTTCATAAAACTATTACATGTTTGTTTCTAGTCAGAAAACAAGCAACTTTTTGTTTGCTGGGCAATACTGGAAGTTTCTTGTATCAGCCTTCCAGCAATTTGATGTATTTAAGGAAACTGAGACTTACTTTCCTGACATTATTTCTTTGCCAATTTTCTTTTTAACAAGACCAAGAGAATCCACTCACTGCAGTAGCTCACCCCTTTTTTACCCATTTTGTGATGCATGTTACATTCATCTTGTGGCTCAACATAAGCTTTGAGAGATTCAGAATATATGCTCCATTATCTCATTTTATACAACAGAATTATGCATGAAAGCTCTTATCAGTTTACATAGTTGTATTTCATTATTTTATTTTTAAACAGTATTTTTAATATTCAAACACCATATGTATTTCCTGTAGTATAGGATTAGGTTTTCATTAAATGACTTTTATCCCTTATGTTCATTGTAAATTTATCAGTAGAGTGACAAAACTGTCAAAGACTGAGAACAGCAGAGGCTCTACAACTGAGGTTGTTACTTTTAAAGCTTCTTTTTCTCTTTCCTGAGTACCATTGCGTTTCTTAAATGGCTTTTAATTTCCACAACACATAAAAGTTGCCTAAATGACAGTTACTCATCTCATCAAACTAAAGACCTTTTGAAAACTGCCCATCATATCACTAAAGACAACACTACAAATAATGGAGTGAGGAAGATAAACTAAGATCCCAGATAACTGGTTCAGTTTTCTGTCAGCCTGATCTTCCATCAAGTCTGCTTTTAATGCAGCCGAGTACATTAGCCAGATACCTTCTCCCGTTCCGCGCCTCCAAAAAAAAACAGTAGAGGGAGCACGAGCAGCACAGAAACATCGCCTGCCCCTCTGTTCCTGTGCTGGATCATAAGCAACTGTGGAAAAATCCTGTTCAAAGTCGGAATGACCACCTAGTTCTACTACAGATTTCCTCCCATTTGAAAATGTATGGAAATTAACTCAGATGCTTGTAATTCATGCACAATTTGGAAAGACATCTGAGTCAACACCAGAGCAGCAGCTAGTCTTTACAAGGAATCACAGCTATTTAAGTGTAAGCCACTCTTTTGTACTTTCCCAAGAATATCTGCTTATCTTTCTTATCTTTAAAGGATATATCTTGGCAAATCTCACATGTACCTAAAGTTGTGACTGCAACAAAATTCCTGGGAACGCACAAGTTTTGCTTGCCTACATTAAGGAAAAGAAGCAGAATTTTTCTTAATGTTTGCAGCCTTGTAGAACACTGTCATAGCATCTGCTATGGATTCCACGTAGTTCATTCCCTGTAAGATACAGTGCCTACATGCAGAAAGACTGAACAGCATAGGCGTTCATCCGCATTTCTAATTGATTTGTTTATAGGGCAATTATATCAACCACGTTTTCCTTTAACACCTTAGAAATGCTAAATAAACAAATACACAACCCTGAAGATGCTAAATAGAACCTCTCTAAGTGTTCTTAAGCTTGCTTAAGTGTCCTTAAGCAAGCTCCGATTGCTATCTTTTAGAAAATTACATTAGAATTTAATTCAGAACTGTAGCATCATGAGTCTATTTAGCCACCAGAAACAGTAGAAAGGAGTAGAAAACAAAGATTTCAGATTTGTATCTGTCTCGTATGGTTCTGCAATGGTGTACATAAAACAAAAACTGTTTTTTTGAATCTCATCTTTGTTTAGGAAAGAATGTATCGAGAAAAATAAAGTTTATTCATGACCTTTCAGAGAGTGTATACACAGACCAAGCTGCCTTTTCTTTTTCCACCTTATCTTGGATATAAGTGTTTCACTGCCCTCTTCCTTGATCTTTAGATATTTTCTTTCTTCCTTTGTATTTTTTTTTTCAGAATTTCCAATCTTATTTTACCTTAAACAGTTCTAGGAAAGATTTTGACAAGGATATCAAGGACTCCTCAGGTTCTCACTTGTTGGAAATTTCTTGGGGTGTGAAATGCTATTTTTGTTGTTGTTGTTGTTTCTTAAAACATAGTGTTCTTCAGTCAGGAAAAAAATTTCACTTCCTTCATCCCACTACCACTAGCAGCCACAAACTCTTCAGGGTAGGTGGAACAATAGCTTATCCTTCCACAGCTCTCTTTCTTCCTGCTCCTCTGCTGTAGGCAACTTCTGTTGCCTTTGGACCAACCCTTCAAAGGATACTTCAGGAGCTGTGGCTGAGTTGGGTTCTGGGAAGCAGCTTGGGACATAAGGTTAGGGGAAATTTTTTTTCCAAGCCACAACTGGCAGTATCACTCTATAAAAGCCATTCTCATGACTACAGTCCATTCAGATAACTATTGCCAGAGTAAAAATTGAAAGTATCGATGCTGTATTTGGTCCCTTGTGCCTCTTCAGTGCTGCAGAGGACCCCTCTATAGCCCCATCAATATTAAAGGGGATTTGGGGTCTCTTTTAATCCCACAGTGCTTTGACATTCCAAAAGGTTTCCATAAATAATTTAACTATTAGATGCAAAAGTTTTAGTACTCTGAATCTGAATACCACATATGCTATTACCTCTTTTGAAGGGCCAGTGCAGAAGGTCAATTTAATAAAGGTGCAAAGACTGTTTCTATCAATTGCAAAAATACAAAAAAAATATACAGACATACTAATTTATACTATTATACCATACTAGTATAAATACTATAGTAGTATATATACTATAGTAGTATGCATGCTATACATACTACTATATTAGTACGTTATAGGCATACTAATTTATAAACACTACATCAGCCTTTCACATCCTTTTGAAATACTCTTAATGTCACCACCACTATTCACAAGCTCTACTCATCTCCAGCAACATGTTAATTGTTCACCTGAAGGTTCCCGTAAGTCTCTGCCACAGTTTATGTCAATTTCCTGTGCAAGATGTTTTTTTGAAACTCTGCTTTATGAGCACCAATCATTAATACAGTTCAAATCAATATACTTACAAGCATTTAATGCCCGGATATTCAAAGGGTTTACCTTATTGGTAAGCACATTAATCAAATAGTTTACCTTACTGGTAAGTACAGAATCACAGAAAAGGCCCTTACCAGGTCATCTGGCCCAACCTCCCTGCTCAAGCAGGGTCATCCCAGAGCACACGGCACAGGATTGCACCCAGATGGTTTTTGAATGTCTCCAGTAGGGGAGACTCCACAACTTTTCTGAGCTTAACCTAAGTGGGCAGCCATAATTGTTTTTATTTTTAGATATATTCCATCCCTTTGGCATCTTACTCATATTTTACTTCATTATAATCAAATAGCTTTCAGAATCACCTCTTGGATGTCTCACATTGTTCCATGTTCCTGCTTTGCACTTGTTTTTGTCAATGTTACTAATATCTCTGCAATTACTCTCACTCATTGACCAGGATCCCCATCTTACAGCAATTCTGCCTCCTGTCTATATGTGCACTATCCCTATGACTTCAATATTGTTGAAGTTTGTTTTTTCCTGACTATCCCTGTTGCTGAAAAATTTGCTCATATTTCAGGCTGATTGCTCTGGTATTTTTATTTGGACTTCTGCCACCCACACATCTTTTTTTTTGTCCTGTGTTTCAAAAGAAGCTCCAGAGGCTGTTCTCTTCAGTTGTATCAGCATAACTATCTCATCAAATAATTTCTCTCTTACCTCATGAAAGTGAGGCAATACTGTTTACAAAGCTCAGATCTCTCTTCTGACTTTGATCTGTTTTCAGTCCATTCCTCTTTCTTGTTGCAGTCATCCCAGCTGCTCTGGCTTCCTGAGTTGTCTCTTTCACTTTCTCTGCTACCATTTATATCGTAGGCTCCATAGTAAGAATTATTTCTTATTTTTGTCCATCCTTTCCTTTCCTTTTTTACAAACTGTTTTATATAAACCCAATCCTTTCTGGTTTCATCAATAAGGAAACCTCTTCTGTTTCTGAGGGACTGTCCTTCACTATCTGACTTTTGTGGCTTAACAGAGAAACAAGTTTTTCTGACTCAAACCAAAGTTCCATCCACTTCACTAAGCCACTTCACTACAAGATTATTCAGGAAAGATGAAAAAAGCTAGATAAATGCTATCATTAGTACATCCTCTCAAGTTCCCAAGCACAGAATGAAGGAGGTCAGTGAGAGATACTGTCTTTGTGTTTAAAAAAAATTGTTGTTTTCTATTATTTTTTCCCGTTTTTTTTGGATGAATGTATACTTCTGTTACGCACAGGCTTCTGTGGAACTGATATAACTTTATTTTGTAATGTGTGGAAAAGTTACTCCTTTGTTAGCTTAGCTTTAAATCAATAAACAAGTTTTATTTCAATCTAGTTTTTTTACTACATTAGACAATGAATATTCTATTCTGTCATCACTTTCTCTGTGCCATTCTCAATTTCACAGCTATTAGTCATATCATCTCAATTCTTTTTCTTGGCTGAAAAGTTCCCAGTCAACCTAAGTCTTCCCTCAGATGTCCCAAAATTGTGACCAAACCTGTGAAAGCCCCAGGTGCATTTTCCCACAGGCACCTTCTGGGTGTCTGGCTGGGCGCAAGGCCATCTTAAAAAGAATACAGATGGTACATTAAAAAAAAAACTCTGGCAGCAGATTCAGAAATAACAATCCCTTCTTCCCATGCTTGTAAACGGAGGCTTTTGCCCTTGGCCTCTGCTGCAGCTGTGAGGCAGCCAACACTAGACCCTGCTCATGACCTAGGGAGTGATTTTCTGGCTTGATATCAGACCTGTCTCTTCATTTGGACCAAGTAGAAGTCCTTGGGCCATGTCTGGCCTTTGTTACCATTTCTGAACTTCATTCTGACTCAGCCTCCTGAGTCACTCTCATCAGTACAAACTTGTTTTGTAATGTAGACTTTTGGCTGACCATGGCAGTCCTTGCTGGACCAGCCCTGCATGGGCACAGTGGGAGTGAGGCTTGCATGGTTAAGCCCCTACATCCATGGTCTTTTTTACAGGAATGGTTCCTGATTCCTTGTACCTTGCTCCTTCCTGGCAATACCAAGCCTTGCCTCCTTCCCTGCTACCTTTTCTAGTTCTGCTATTGTCTATTTTGAGATGTGTGGACCGCAACAGGACACAAAAATCACAGACCTTACAGAGTCACAAAGCTTATTTCTCTTTTTCTTCTGCAATCATACCTACCACTGTGTTTGCGTCTACTGATATTTTAAGAGAACTGTTTAGAGGACACCAAAATCTCTTTCCTGAAAAGCAGCCAACTAACATCAACCATTGTTTACATAAAATGCTTCCCATTTGTTCTGCTACTGGTCTCCATCTCCCCTGTCATCTTGTACCATGAGTTTTTGGTATATCTGAAGAGATTATCATCATAAGCAAGCTTCACTCACTCAATAGCTCAATTTCAACACTTAATTTTTGATTATGCTAAATAATCCAAGTCCCAGTGAAGACTGGAATAAAACCCAACTGGCAATCTTCCTCCTGTGTGAAACTAAGTTTATTCCTACCTTGCTTCCAAACTTTTAGCAGGCTGAGTTCCCAGAGATTAAAGTCCTACAAAAAGATGCATCTCAGCTACTTTACAAACTACAGAAGAATAAGCAACCACAAATCCATGCTAAGTATTAGATATTGTTTCTCATTTCAAATACTCATCTGGAAACAATTCTAGAATAAAACAAATCTTCATTTTATAGTTTTCCCTAAAATCCCTCCTTTGTTTCACAACTTTTAGATTATGATTATAGAATTATAGTTCCCATCTATAAATGGTAAATTACATTTTATTAGCAGCCATTGAACTGTTTGAATCATCATAAAATTAATATAAATATTAATATTTACTATGACATATATTTCATTACATGATTCAAGATTAGGCATTACTGCTTTTCCCACAGTATCTTGGGTTCTTGCTATGCTATTTTTAATGGAAATAACTCTCAAAACTTCTTGAATATACGCAAAAATCATACCTTTCTAATAAAATAACTTACCCTCTTTTACTGATTCCTCCTTTGATTGACTTAATGTTAGCAATCTGTTACATTTTTCCAGCTGATGAACCAGTAGGTTATTTGCATCATTAATTTCTGATATTTTCTAGAAAATTGGAGAAGGACTAACATTATATTAACCTGTTTTAAGTTTTGAATTTTAAGTGAATAACAAATTTAACAATTCCACAATACTGCAGTACAAGCCTGTAATATTTCCCATTCAGGATATTCCTTTATAGAGAAGAATGATACTACACTTTGCTGCTCCAAGCTTACCCTGCAGAACTAAGAATGCTGACTTGCATCATGAGTTCTAAACTATTTTCCTCTCAGTTTTGTAGTCAAGAGTCTGGATCAATCCTTTGCAAGGTTCTTTCTACTGCTTTGCATATGAGGCTGTCAACACACTTGCAGAGCAACAGCTTGAACAGTATGTGGGAACAGGAACAGGTGTAATAAGTTTATTCCATGAGAAATGCTAAATTTATTTCAGGTGCTCCTTTTATACTACCTCGGAAATCAGTAGAAAGCTACTATCAACATCAGTCTAAAAAGAAACACAGTACTGATTTTCCTCAGAAGGTCAATCGTTTAAGAAATGACACACACATAAGATAAAGGAAGCTCAAGTGCATATGGCATGTAGGAACTCATGCTCTTGATAAGGCAATGACATTTTTCTAGAACAAGGAACAACTTCTGAAGGGATATCCCAGCACTAGACCACTTGGTTTTGTGAGAGGTGCCCCTCCCTATTGCAAGGGGGGTTGGAACTAGGTGGTCTATAAGGTCCCTTCCAGCCCAAATGATTCTGTGATTCTTTGAAAGTGGTGTAATAAAGTTATCTTCAACACCATCTTCTATAGTCTTCCTGAGAAGCCAGTTTGGCCTCTGGATGATTAAAATTCTAGCACAGAAAGGCTTCTCAGATTTCACAGAATCCACTCCTATGTCTCCAGGATACAGTCCATACAAACAGTTTGCCAAATGAAGTTGGTATTACAAGGCATAACAGTAAGCTGATACATCTTAAAGAAATTTTCACTCAAAAATATTTTGAAAATGTCGCACAATAATTATAGATGGCAGTCTCAAAATTTTCTACCTTTTTCACTTACCTCTTCTATCTCTGAGAAGTCACATAGAAGTTTATCTAGGTTCACTACACTGGTTTTCTTCATAGTTTCTTCATCAGTATGATTCATTTATTTCTGGACCATATAACCAAATGATCACTAGATATATGGAAAAAAATAGATCTGTAAATTAATATATTTCTCATCCACAACACATAAATTCTTTGGCAAGAATATAAGAAGAACAAAGAAGACTATTTTTTAAAATTAAAACTATTTTTTGTGTTGAAGCTAAACTTCAGCCCATTTAAGATCTTGCATTTCTAGGAAATACAACGAATGTCAGAAAGCCCAAACAATACCTGTCAAACTGATATATTGTGGTTGAATTTGGAAAGTTTGCTGCAATTAAAAAGTTAACTTGGATCCACTTCCACAGACAGAATAATGCACCAGACACATATTAATTCAGCATCCTTTACCTGTGTAGATGTTCTAATACTTGGCTACTCAGGTCTAAAGGTACTTACATATTTTCTTACAAACAACAAGTGTTAAATCAATGATAGGCACTGCAAGTCAAAAACCCTGCTGCAGAATAAAAGTACAGTATTTTGAAAGGCACCAGATTTTTAACACAACCCCTATTTTTATAAATTCTACTTACAGAATCTTCAACATGTATTTGCAAGATGGATCTGAAATACACAACATGAATGCTTCTAAAAATATTCACACTATATCTCAACATCAGGCTCCATGAGACAAAAATTCCAACACCTACTAGTAAACCAAACAAAATTACCGCTTCTACATGGTAATGTGTGATCAACCTTTTTACAAATAACAAAAAATTTGCAATCAGGAGATGAACCAGAAATTAAAATGTGTTCACCACCCAGAAACTGAATGAGTTTCCAGACAGAAATACTTGCAGTACAGTTACGCAGAAATGGGCAAATGCACAACACTAAGCAGAAACCAAATCTGAGTAATTTTCTTAGTCATTCAATATTTACAAGACTGTATGTGTATGTAACTTCTTGAACAAAGCAATAAGATATTGGTTCTATGTGTTTAATATTTTTTCTTCTGCCCACTCCTTCTTCAGTGAAGCTAAAACTAATTCATAAGCGAAAACTCAAATTTTTAAATTAAGTTTTCAGAATATAGTAAACTTGGAAAAATAAATGCTTCTTAATTAAATTAATGGGGGTTTTAATGTTTTGGTTTTTTAAATTTTGTTTTTTAAATGGGGGTTTTTACTAAATTAAATTTTAGTAATCTTAATGACTTGCAACTTACTGGGGTTTAAAATATGAATTCAGGACACTCGAATTTTGAAAAGAATTACCCATCTTAATATTCTGTTAGTTGATAATCTACACGTACACTATGAATGTAAATCCTTGACTTTTCCAATCCTTATCATGAGCAGTATCTTATATTTGCCAATCACCCATTTTTTTCATTACTTTCACAACCGTGTTCCACTCTGCATTTTGACACAGGATGGAATTCAGGGAGCTGCTGTGTTGAGCTGTTTTGTTTGTGTGTTTTCTTATTCTACAGCATCACTTGTTTTCTTGGAAGACAGGATATGCTCAGCACTAGGCAACAGTACCACTGGGTACAAAACGCCTGCTGAACTGCAACAGTAAATTAAAAAGAATGTTGTATTATTAATGTTGTATTTTTTTCCAGCAGGAGAACTCATCACTGTTATTTTTGTGCATATTACTATTACACATTATGTCTTCAAAAAGCATTTTATGTTAAACCTGCCACTCGTGTTTTGAACGATGATATTTATGTCACTGGGGGAAAAACTAAAGATTTAAATCATGGGTTTGACTGCCGTAAAAGTGACACTTTCCTTTAATGCCTCTTTGACCCCTTGCCATCGATGCTTTCCCAGTATCACTTTCGAAACTATTGCAGCTGATGATACCGCTTTTGAAAAGTTTTCAATTTTTTTGCTGCATATGGCAGTGAAACATAGAGAGAGAGAGAGAGATATTAACCGAATGTAGGAATTATTCAGTAGCAGGCCAGGCCGCCCCGCTCACCCGACCCCCGCCGCTGCCCCTGAGGCGCCTGAGGGGAGCGCAGCGCGCGGGCGGAGCGTACCACTGCCGCCGGCCCTGCGGGGGCGCGCCCCGCCCCGCTGCGGGCTCGGCCCACCCCCGCGCGGGTTCCACCTCCCGCCGGTGCGATCGGGCCCCCCCTTGAAAGTTGGTTGTGTCCTCATTAGACAGGTGTTAATTTACTTTATGGACCTAGGTTTTTTTACATAAATAGGCTTCATAATTGCATTCCCGGAGCCCAAGCTGCCTTCTAGTATGTGACGTTTCACCTGTAAGCCAAAATTCGTAAATGTTTGTGGTTGAACAGAACGACAAAAGTCAGGGGGTTTGCAAAGAGTGAAGTGGTTACGTCAGCTCCGGACCTAGTCTGCAGGCACATGGCAGTGGGGGGAAGGGAAGGGAAGGGAAGGGAAGGGAAGGGAAGGGAAGGGAAGGGAAGGGAAGGGAAGGGAAGGGAAGGGAAGGGAAGGGAAGGGAAGGGAAGGGAAGGGAAGGGAAGGGAAGGGAAGGGAAGGGGCCTTCCAGGGTCTTGGGTAGTTTTAATCTCCCCTACTGTCCATTCCGACTTCTTGGCCTCATTCCTGCATTTGTGCTGTGCTGGATTGTGCTCCAGAAACTGGAACAATGTTTGTCCTGAAAAAGTGCTGCGTTACCTCCACACGGCCCCTTCTCCAGCCACATCTTGTACTTTCTCATGCTGTCCTATAACCAACAATCCTTGGTGCTTACCAGCAATTCTTGTCTGTTATTACCAGCTGTCCTTTCTTGGCTCCATAGCATTCCAGCTATCCATGTTCGGGACATACACCCTTATTGTCTGTGATTCTACAGTATAAATGGACTTCTTGTCCAAATGCTAAATACTCCATGGCTTTCTCAGATAACCTGCTTTTGTCTGTAATAGAGAGATGTTACATCTTGAATACTTTTTGGTGCTGTCCCCATGAGCAGAACTGTCTGCTGTGCAAATCAGAAGATGCGGGTGCATGCAGGACATTGTCTGCCTGCAAACACCCAGAGAAATAACAACCTACCAGTCATGGTCACACACACATGCTGTTTGGCAGGCAGCTGCTTTATCAGAACATCTGTAGGTTGGTTGTGTGGACTGGGACATGGACTAGGCAAACTGATAAAAATAATTTTCATGGATAGCAGGTCTGCAGCTGAGATATCTGTGGGGAAAGGTCACAGTGCCAAGTGTGTCATGGACAGATATTAATAAGAGAAAGAGATACCCAGGGAACTTGGTACATGCTACTCACGTTTCCTAGCTCTCTTTCCCTGCTTCACATATCAATTTTTACAAAACCTGTTTTACAGTTTCAGTTGTTCTTGTAAATTGCACAATTTTTTCAAAAGGTTTGGTACTTTCAAAAAATTAGAATTAAAAATTTGTAATTAAAGTTAATAAAATTGTTAATCACAGGAATTAATGTTCCCCTTAGACCTAGAAAAAAGCCTGCTGTTGGTTACTAAAGAGTAACCATTCTTGAGTAGTGAGCATTTTACCATACGGTAAAGCACAGAATATTGCACAGACTGCTTTTTGTGTTATTTATCTGTATTTTTCTTGTATGGATTATATTCATAGCAAGACAGGAAGTGAAGACTAAAATCCAATTCTTATGATTAGGCAAAAATGTTACTCAGTGTCCACATGTAATATTTGTAATAATGCTATGCTAAATGACTCATATATAAATATGTCATTTGACTTCTGAGAATGTGATTACTGTGAACAGACTGGGGAAAAATGTAGAAAATAAACATTGAGGGAAAAATGTTTGACAGATTTTGTTTGACACAGAAATACAGGGAATGAAGTTTATAAGCTGGGGTAGAACATTTAACTTGTAAAAAGTTTAACAGTCAGCAAATATTATTTTGTTTTAGCTTTTGAAATATTGCTGCTAAAATAAGCAGTTTAACACTACATGTTTCCAAAATATGAGATTTTTATCTATAGTTAATTTAGAGTTCATTCTAATTTGGTTTTGTCCTTTATAGGGTAATAACTTCTCATGCAAGACAGTTCAAGAGTCTGATGGTCACTGAAAAAATGTTTGACATCCACTGTGTATTAGGCAGGAAAGCAGCAGGTAGCTGATGATGCATACTGCAACCTACAGAGAGTTTCCAACACATACGGAAAACACTGATGCCTTTTATTGCCATTGTGAGCATCCCTGTAAGAGAAATTGCTGCACCAAAGACCTGTGACAAGACATTGTTTCATATTCTGTTTCTCACAAACAGCATCATCTGTGTACATTTAAAATCTCAAAGTTAGGCATGGGGTTGAGCAGTGTTTTAGTGACCTCTATGCCTTTTTGGTGGTCTTTAACAGCTTTCTGTGCAACTCTAGCCATCTCAAATGGATGTGTCAGATTCCTTAACAGAGTTAAACTTTGCAAGAGTCAATGCAGTTTACAAAATTATTTATCTTTTCCTGAAGAACGCACAGAAGGAAGAGCATAGGTTTTAACCTGCTCTAGACTGCCAGAGCACTGATCCCAGTGTTTAGCAGAGTATCACATTGATTTTAGATGCAGCAACTCTGCATCTCAGACTGCAGAGTAGCTTAATAAGATGGGAGTATAAATTGTACTCTCATGCATCTATACTGTTTGACATGTTATATTCCTTTTGACAGAAGGATTTATTTTTCTGGTTTAGGAGATGAAAGCTGTCAGAAAGGATGTTTGGTATAGAAGTACCCGTTTCTCTTGCATTCTCCAAAATGTTTATATTTGTCCAAACAATGAAAGCAGAAATATACACAAAATGCATACAAATATGTTTATTTGTATTGGGTTTGCATGGCCAAATTTTGGTAGCAGGAGAAGAGGAGGGAGAGCTACAGGAGTTGCTTCTTTGAGATGCTGCCAGAAGCTTTCCCCACATCTGGCAGAGCCAGTGCCAACTGGTTCCAAGACAGACTCACCTCTGGCCAAGGCCAATCCCATGAGGGACAGTAGAACCACCTCTGTCATAATGTATTTAAAAGGAAAAAAACTATGGTGCAGTTGTAATTGTGCTCAGAGAAGAAAGGAGTGGAAGTATGAGAGAGGAACAGCTCTGCAGAAGCCAAGGTTAGTGCAGAAGGAGGGGCAGGAGGTGCTTCAGGCACTGGAGCCAGTGCTGAGACCCTGGTGAGGCAGCTGTGCCCCTGCAGCCTATGGGGGTTAATGCCAGAGCAGGTGGATGCCCACAGGAAGGCTGTAACCCTGTGGGAAGTCCATGCCGGACCAGGTTCCTGGCATGGTGTGGCAGGTTTGCTGGTAGGACCAGCGACCCAGTGGGGGACCCATGCTGGAGCAAGCTGTTCTTGAAGGACTGCACCCCATGGAAAAGGACCCATGCTGGAGCAGTTCATGAAGAACTGCAGCTCATGGGAAGCACTGACACTGGAGAAGTTAATGGAGAGCTGTCTCCCATGGGAGTGATCCCACACTGAAGAAGGGGCAGGACTCTTCTCCCGGAGCAGCAGTAGGAACAACATGTGATAAAGTGACCATAACCTCCATTCCTGTCTCCCTGCACTGTTGGTGGGGAGGATGTAGAGCTGGGAAAGGAGGGAGGTGTGGGTGTAAATTGTTTTTAAGATTTATTTTTCATTATTCTGCCCTGGTTTTGATTTGCAATATATTCAATCTATTTCTTCTAAGTCAAGTCTGTTTTGCCTGTGATAACTGATGAGTGATCTCTCTCTGTTTTCCAATGCATGAACCTTTTGTTAAACTTTTTTACCCCCTGTCCAGTTGCAGAGGGGAGTGATAGTGCAGCGTTGGTAGGTACCTGTCATCCAGCCAGGGTCAACCCACCACACTATCAAGTATAGTAATATAGTAGAAAACATTTAAATAGATAAATATATAAATAAATATATTTATGTATATGACCAAATATACCTGCTAAAACAGTATCTGCAGCCATAAAAATCACCCGAGGGAAAAAAGTTGATTTCATGTTTGCTACCTAAGTATTGGTATGGGAGTCTTAAGGGGAAAAAAAATACTCGCTTACTTCCAACATGTGTTTTAGTTGTTATTCAGAAACAGAAATTTCTGTTTACAAAGTATTTTTTCTTCTGTTCTTGTGTCTTTTTGCTTGTCAGAGGATGACCTTATCTCTGCTTTGTAGCTTCAGTAGTTGAAAAAGAAAATGGTTTAGCATTAGTGATTATGGTATGTATTAAAATAAAAATTTCATTTTTTGTAACTTGAGACAGGTAAGCAGTAAATTTCTAATTTAGATCCTTATATGAATGCCATACCTTGCAATTTTAACAGGAGTGCTCTGTCATGCAATATGAACAAAAAAAAAAAAAAAAAAGATAAACACTAGCTAAGTGACAAATGAAATCTCCTAAAATGTGTATCATTCAGTGAATCTGTGAATCTGTGAAAACCCACACAGTCTTCTTTGTGAGCTGTTTTACATGCCAGTGTAAAAGGCTTTGCTTTGCCTTGAGAAATAACTTCCCAAATTACTACAGATGCAAAACTAGGTGACTGTATCTTGCTGTCTTTAGGTCTTTGTCCAGAATAGCCTATGTTCCTCTGCAGTATTACTCATAATAAAATACTTAGCCATATGGAATGAAGCTAGCCTGTTCCAGTGCTTTGTTGTGTAGACTGGTATGTGCTGTTTCCAAGAGGAAGAAAGCTCCTCGTATGTCCTTATAGTCTGAGACCTTTGCAGTCATTTATCTGGTCAGAACAACGCTTTTGTTTTAAAAGTGTCAACCATCACCCAAGCTTTGATTTGTAGCATAGCTTGTTGCTCTTTTTCTGACACAGATTTTTTTTCATAGATCACAGAATCATAGAATGCTCTGGGCTGGAAGGGGCCTTAAAGGTACTGTAGTTCCTACCCCCCTGGTGTGGCCAGGGACACCTTTTGCTGGGTCAGGTTGCTCAGAACTCCATCCAGCCTGGCCCTAAAGACTTGCGGGGATGGGACAGCCACAGCTTCTCTGGATATGTATATATCTATGGCACAACAGAAATCAAATACATAGACTAAATA